TGCGTTGTAAAATAGCCAGTTGCAATGTTCATGCTGAAGTTAATTACAGGGGTGGGGGGGGGGGGGGGGGCAAATTTCCCAGATAGGCATGTGTAAACCGTTTGTGCGTTCAAAGTAACAAAAGCAAAGCAACAAAGAACATCCTCTGCGATACCTGCAACGCATAAGGTCTATTTTCCATGAGTGTCAGTGACCATGCCACACCAAAATTATATTTTCAAGCTTTCATTTCCGGCGTTCCACATTTAGGCGAAAATCCAATGATGTTGAGATCAAACTGGCTTGTCCATTATAGCTCCATGTGATTCTCAGTAGGAGTAGAAAAAGAATTGGAAATTGTCCCTGTAAGTTTGTCCTTTTTAATACCAAGCCCGAAAACAACCGGGTAATTATGGTCGAATAATAAGCTAGGCCCGTGGGGTGGAATTTATCTTGGGGGCCTTATTTTCTGGAGAAGGTGCGCTCATCATGGGCTTTCATGGGGAGGAGTAATAAGGGTGCACATCATGCTTCCAGTAATTGCGGCGAGGGTAGGGGGCTACTGAACAGAGATGGTTATAAGGAAGCACCAAAATGGTACCACTTATTTTTTTTTCGGGGGGGGGGGGCGGGGGAGCTGGTGGATCAAGGGGGGTGTAGGAGGTCTAAACCCCAGCGGCGCCCAACCCCAACTGTTAGACCTCAATAAATAAGAAACTCATGCTGAAAAAAATCGCACATTCCTGTTAACTTCCCTGCCCCTTAAGACAAAGCTGGATCTGACCCTGGGGGCATATTGCTTAACGTAGTCATCAATTCGCTCGTACCCCGGCCCGCCCTCAGGACCCGGCGGGGGGTACGAGCGAAAGTCATCAGAAGTTTTTTTTTGTTCATGCGCAGAACACCGTTAAATGAAAACGAACAAGAAACACTGACATTGGTATTCAAAATATTTTAATCTATCAAAATACAGTTCACTCAATTAAATAATCATTATGCTTTTGTACAATTCTTGAAATATAATTTTGAGTTTAAAAATACCATTCGTTGTCAGATGCATGAGTTGCAAAAATACGTTGCTAAAAAGTCGAGATACAATTATTAAAATAATAATAATTTGTCAAAGTACACGCATCCCGGGCACGCTATGAAAAAAAGTGTACGAAATGGTCACACGACATTTTCAACAATATACTTTTTGAAAGAACAGCAATGTTAAAACTGAAGTTGCGCGCTGAACTGACTCATTTCCAAAGAGAATTCCATTTAAATGTTGTGTCTTACTTGCCGTACGTCACGCAATTTAAGAACTTGACATTTCCAAATGTTGGTTCACAGAACTTTACCCGATTAATAAGGCTACGAAACCTACAACCACAATCTACAAAATTTCATCAAAAATGCTCGTTCGGCAAAATTAATGAACCGTGCCAAAATATATCTAACTCGATGTCTGTGCGAATTGTGCAATCGTTTAAAGTGCTGAAGATTACGCATCATTACTTGTGAGTACAATCTAATAATTTGTTTGGGTGGTTTTCCTTGCATTTCTGAAAAACGTACGAACCTTGCAATAATCACCACGCGTCTAAAAACATATTCATAAACCATATTATTGTATGTTGTGCAAAATTATGTGAAAAAGGTTCATGCAAATAAGATGAAGATAATACAAAACAATAAATGAAATATGTGTCTAAGGAAATGGACGGAATAAAAAACAATGGATGAATTACCATCATTTTACTGTCAACGAGAACACCGTGATTTTTGCCCTTTAACTAAAAATATTTCTCTCTGGTGACAAACACCCAACTTTTCACACAGTGCTGTAAAATAATTGCCTCTTATCATTCTTTCCTGAAACTTCAGGTTCAGGGATAATATACATGTTGACATGCATATGTTTCTAGTTCTGCTGAAACTGTCAAAAGCTATCAAATAAAAATGGAAGTCACTTAAAAAAAAAAAAACCTAAGGAAGATAAAGCAATCAAAACGATTTAAATTAAAAAAAAAATTAGTTTGCCCCGAACTGTCACTTACGTCCATTTTAAATCAAATTTTATCCAGAAAAAATCTCGTTGTCACACATTACACAGCAGTCGGCGGTAAATTGGTAAATTTACTACTAAAGTTATATTTAATAGACCCGGAACTTGCTCCAAAGATGTGAACATGTTTTTGATTTAAAGTTATACTTAACAAGAAACAGACATGGAACTTGCTCCGAAGATGGGAACATGTTTTTCTTTGGACTAAAAAGATTGTCAGAAGCGGATAACTTGGGTTCTCTGAAATGGACCTTGTGTGTTAAGCTTTTATGGCAGATATGTGCCTTTGATAATACAAGCATGGTATTTGGCACACAGTCAGAGTATGTCATGAGAAAGATATCTGGCTATAGGGCCATCGCAGATTTGTCCTTTGAAAAAAATAGGCAGAATACTAAAAAGCAATGGCAGCAATTAGGAAGTTTCTTATCATTCTACCTATATTTTTTCAAAGGACAAATCTGCGATGGTCCTATACCTAAATATCAATTCTTAAAACATACTCTGACTGTGTGCCAATGCCACGCCTGTATCTTCATAGGCAAAAAAATTCCTCAAAATATTTCCCCTATCTGCCCCACTACTTAGGCGGGGATAGAGACTCAAGAGGGCAATCCTGATGTATCCCTTGGACAGACCATGTGTGCATTACGAACGACGAAAAGTAGACATCTGCTTTTCTTCTGTCAGAATTGCAGAAAGGCAGAGTGAACGTTTTCGAAAATTCCATTTTTCTGCCTTTCTGCTACTCAACTTAAAATAACCGTAGAGCAACGCATGAGGACTAGCTGTTCAGAAGACAAAAATGGGATGAGTTTTAATTAATACAATAACTGACTTTTTCTTTGAGATGCATGTATGCCTTGCCTGATGGAATTTAAGACCGTTAATTTCAAAAATTAAATAAAAACTGTTTTCCAAACCGGCTTCCCTCAACAACAAAAACAAAAACTTTAGTGATCTTTGTTTTTTTATGGATGAAATGTAAGTCACTGAACATTACGTCACTGAAAGAAAAGGGTTGAAAATAATTAGTTTAACATACACTCAAAATTAATTCTGTTTTCAAACAAAATGACATTGTCATTTTGACAAGCACACCTTAAAAAATATATCAATTTCTGATTACAAAAAAATAAAACATACCATCTGATAGCGTCACCTGTGAAAACAGCAACAGATGAAGTGGCATACCATGCAAAAACATTACCCAAACGCCACAGTAAAAATACATTTCTAAATAATAATAATAAAAAAAATAATTGGCACACACAATTGGCTCAGTGAAAGAACTCAATCAATCCTCCTCTTGAAAACAACAGCAAATACCCTTTTTGCTACACTGTATAATTCAGAAGCCAGGGGTGAGATAAGAAGATGAAAAGGTATAAACTAATTGGCGGAGGGGTTTGAGGGCTCCAGATCGAGCAAGGTAGGAAGGGTCTGTTTTATGTGTTTGTATTTGCCTAAATGCACCCCTAACACAATACAGTCAACAGGGTTCCTACAGAAATCTGAAAACCGAATTCCATAACTTTTCCAGGACTAAAATATTCCAAGACAATTCCAAGACATTTAACATCATTTTGCAGAGAAAAGTTGCTTGGTATTATGATACTGATGACCCGCTGATGTTAGGCTAACCATTTGTTAGCTTTTGAAAAGAAGTTTTAATGAATAATGGCCTCCTCCTCCCCCTTATAGACATCCTTAAAGCGGCCCATCAAATGTAACCCTACTATCATCTTGATTTCCATGACTTTTCCATGACTTTATAATTGTTCCAATTTTCCATGACTTTTCCATGACTTTCTTTCATTTTTTTTCAATTTTCCATGACTTTTCCATGACTTTCTTTTATTTTATTTTTCAATTTTCCATGACTTTTCCATGACTTTCCAGGAAAACTTTTTTCCCAGGACTTTCCATGATTTTTCCATGACCGTGGGAACCCTGCCACTTCTTTTGTGTTATATAAACCTTTACACATGAAGGTACAGAGACCTTTATGGTAAAATCTCACAAATTCCCCATTTCATAAAAGGATTAAAAAAAACCCAAAATCCTGAAATCAGGACAAATCCTGACAAATCTCACCCCTGAGTAGCTGAGAAGTGAAGTTTTCTAGACTGAAATTTTGCATAAAATCTGGCTAAAACTTTACCAAATTCAAATAATCATGTCACATTTTACAATAAATAATTTTTCTCCATTATTTACATAATAAATTTCTGCATTTAAATAAAGAAAATCGGATGGATGATAAAACTCTACAATCATTACGATTTTTAATATACAACTATAATTTTTCGCTTTGGTCTAATTTCAGTGACTCTATCACATGGTGGGAATGTATGAAAGTATTTTTTTTTTTTTTACAAATTTGATAAGTGATTAATTTAACTATTTCAATCAAAACAGGCACACTCGGAAACTTCAAATGCTACGCTTCTGAAGTTTTATTAAAACAGAAGATTTTTAACTTCAACTTCACTTCAAATTATACAAACAGCAATCATTAACATAGAAATTAACTAGCACACGTGTGAAATTGTACATTCGAACAAACTCTGCATCTTTTATATCAAATTTTAAGTACCCTGTACATCGTCTGTTAACAGAAGTGTTCTTTTTGTTCAGGTTTTAATGAAATATCTATGTGCAAAAAAACCCTACAATAAACAAACAAACAAACAACTTAAAAAATTGCCCACAATTTAAAACTATTTTGATAACATTACCAATTCAATGTTGCATGCATTTAAAAATCTATCTTCATCCCGACTTATTGAATTCGTATACAAAACGCTGAGTTGAAATTAAAAACTGGTTATCCTTAGAACTGACTCTCACATGACATTAAATATTAAATGGACATAAATCACAGAACATTTGTCATTCTGAAAAGGGCGGAAAAACATAATGACGGAGCACATGTGAACACCTCAAGGTGGTTTTGTGTATTTTAATTCACTCATGAAACATGTGAACTGTTCCCACAAACAGAAAGTAGCATTTTTTCAAAAAAGTTTTTTTTTTAATAAGCCTGTGAGTCATTTTGTGAGCAGATTTATTAAATAAAACAATTGCCCTTATAATGTTCAATGTGCAAGGAGTGGCTAACCTGAAAAATGATTATGTGCAAATGCTGTGCAAATGTTGTCCAAATTTTGTCCAAATTTTGAAACACCATACTGCATAAATACCTGACAAAACCTCCATAAATTGTTAAGATATTTGGGTGAGTTGGGTCATCAGCCGAAGTCACTCACATGTAATGCCTTGTGGAAGCTTCAGACTGGTTGTCACATCCGGACGGGCGTCCGCCCTGGACTGGCTAGCTTGGAGTAAGCCCTCTCCATCTTCATCAATTCCTGGTGATGGGGAGAGAAAAAACAGTTTTTGAGACCAAGGCAGAGCTGTAATGGAATCAACCACAGGTCAGGTCACATGTTACAGTGGATGAACAATGACAAACGAATGTCTTTGTCAAAGCTTATTTGAATAACTTGATTTAGACTGGATGACTTGGGTTGACTCGTGATGACTTCTGGTGACTTGTGACGACCTCAAGTACAACACTGGACCAAATTAAGGCATAGTTATAAAGTATGGGAGACCAAGGCTCATAAAACAGTACAAAACAATTAACAATTATGATGCGATCAAGCTACATGAGTCGTTTGTCGACCATGGTCACAAATTTTTTTATTACAGATTTGAAAAGAGTACAACCTCAGCATTACTGCTGTGACAACCCCATGCTGATACCATCTTTAGTTCAAAAATTATGGAAGTCGGAACACCAAGAGATGTGATGAAGTGATGTGATGAAGTGGCCCTATTTTGGCCCGTATCTCCAAATTAAAATTCCTGACAAACGACTCATTTAGCTTGATCGCATCACAATTGTACAAACACCTCTTCGCTGACAAGAAAAACATAAGATTTGCCGACTGTGGCAAACCCAGAGAAAAACTTAGACATCTTTCCACTAAACTTACAGAAAGTACACAAAGCTCTTGACAAAATCATTTGGCTGAACTATTGTTCTCTAGTCATGATATACTTCAGCTAAAAATCTAAATGATTAAAACAACACACTGATCAGTTTAAGAGAAGTGCATGCCCATGACAAATTTCCAAGGTAATGGGAAAAAATGGGTTTGGTTTGAAGCAAACAAGTTGCGCAGAGAGGAAGTCGAACCTCAGACACAATGGCAGTAGATGAGATAAAGTATCACAATGCCAACCTTCACTGTGTTGCTCCATTGTAGGGGGCCTCATGAGTGTACACTGATCACGTGCCAAGATCTGTCTATATCTGGTACCCCAGGTGCAGTCAGTAGATAGGACTTCATGACCATTTGTGAGTTAACTCACAAATTGTCCATGTACAACAAACTGTGAGCCTGCACTGATTCCTATGCCAATGGCATGAAGTATGCACGACTAACTTTCCTCTGAGTGTATGAAAACCATGTGCCATACAGCAGCCACTGTCTTTGCCCACACTATTCTTTGAGCTTGACTCACCTTGGTTTGCTGCGTGAGGGCGCCCTGCAGTCGGCTATTCTCAGACACCTTTTCACTGACGGAGGCGGCATTCTCTCGGCAACGCTCCTCGGCCACCTGCAGCTGGCGTTCCAGCAGCTTGACTCGCTGCTGCATCTGGTACAACAGATGGTCCTTGTCTTCACTCTTCACAAGGGGAAAAAACGAGAAAATGTTATATTTGGTTTATCAAATAATAAGTTCATTCTTTCTATAGTTCAAACATGTAGCAAGTTTCACCAAATGTGTGGTGCAGAGCATGAAAAGAAGTAAGAGCCACAGGGAACTCAACATTTCAGACTTCCAGACAGCCTGTGTTTCCTGGTGATGGGCAGGGCGTATACTATCTGAAATGTTGAGATTCCCCACCTCTTTTAACAGCCACACAAACACATAAAAGAGATTTCTTGCTGGTGCTACTGCAAGCTTTCTTTCAGTAGACTTGTTCAGTTGTGGCATTTTAGAGTCAATAGTATACTGTTGCAGAATAGAAATATTGCGCTATTTGGTATTATCAGCCATTTTTCTGGGCGGATCGACTACCATGATAAAATACAATTAGACACATGCTGTTAGGAAAATCGCAAACAGGCAGCATCAGCAGAACTTTCAAGGCCCTGTTGGATGACTAGTAAGCACAATTTTCACATTATCTAGATACCATGACCACAAGGAATTTCAACAATTATCCATACAGTTCAGATCTGTACAAATTGTTTAATTCTGTAACCTTGTGTTTTGAAAATCAACGCAATGAAATTCCATACTTTAATTAGTAGGCTTGTATTCAGCATTTTGACAACATCATTCGTATTGCTCAGTATAAAAAAACTATTTTGTAACTGTGCGATATTACTGAAATGTCGCCCAAGCCTAACTTTGATTACAGTTCTTGGGTTTTCTTTCTGTCATCAGGTTCTCATCATACCTCACTGTTCTTGCTGGAGTGCGGGCTGGCCCTCTCCTCTCCTGAGCTCTCAAACGGCCCTCGACTGCTGCTCCTTCTCAGGGTCATGTTCTCCGTCCTGAGCTGCTTGACTCTCTCCTGGAGATGCCTCAAGAGACGGATGGTGGAGGCGTCGCTTGCTGATGAGACGATGGAGGGGCTACCATTACCCTAGTGAATGGAAACCATCAGTAGACCAAATTTTCAAGACGTCACAATTAATCACTGAAACTTAATTGTTACGTCAACTTGGGTGACATCACAGTAAGTGAAAAGTTGTGGACTCGAACAGTAGACGCGAGCAGATGGCGTTTGTTTACCACTTTTCAAAGGCTCCAGTGAGAGATTCACAATACGTGCGCACACTGGTTCGCGCACTTACGGTGCAAAGTACGCATGGTTATTTTATTCTGAGTGTGTATAAACTAGTTGTGTCTTCACGTGAGCTGTCAGAAATGCATTCGAATGTCTCTCCCTGTGGTCTCCCCAACTCTCCCTATGTAACTGCTGAGGGGTACTTGTGCACTGATTTCACGCATCTATGCATTTAGTGCACAGGCTAAATGCCACTCAAAATGTGATGCAGTAAAATAAGGTCTATACATGTAGAGTACCGAAGTGAATACATCATGCGCACAATTATGTGTGTAAAAGACGTTAGCGTGTGATTCAGCCCGTGAACCGACATGCAAGTGTACTCCATTCTTTTGCGCTACACTTTCCGGTTCTAAATGACGTCACACTTTGGTACTCTATATGACTTTCAAAAAAGTATTTGTCTGTTTCGCACCAGTGAAAAGGCAAAACCTGTTGCAAAATTCCCAGAGTCGTTTGTGTCACTCAGAAGTCAATCACACGTCAAATCATGAGTCAGGACTTATTGTCACGGATCATAAGTAATAGGGGATGAACAATTACAAAGAATTAATGCCTTTATAGTGGTTAATTTGAATAGCGTTTGACTTCATTAGAGATTGGAGGACTTGTAATTGACTTATGGTGACTTTTTACAGAAATCTGAAAAAAATCCAAGGTGGAATATAGGTGATGCATTAAATGATGGAAGGTGATCCAATCTGACGTTCGTAAAATGCCGTAAGGAAAGTACTTTGTTCCAATTAACTGGAACTTTCCAAAAAGAACATGACCTTTGCAGATCTTGATATAATTGATGGCCTTCTAGGATCTATACAAGGCCCGAGTATCCAGGTTATAGAGAATAAAAACCATAATGAGATCACTGTAACATTTGTAGGAACTTACCGATGAGTTTCTAGACCCCCGATCAGACTGACTTCCCCTGTAGGAGGACCCATCTCGCTTGCCTGTTTCCTGAAGACGACTGCCAAGTCATAAAAAAAATGTTTAAAAAAATGACATGACAGACTGTCATTCAAGTTACAAATATGTACTTAACGTCCGAGTCTCTTGCGAACGGCACATGGCACAAGCCATTACTGGGCCCAATTTTATGGCTCTGCATAGTAAAAAATCTCTGCTTACCTTATTCAGTGCTTACAGTTAGCATATTTCACAGGTTAGCAAAGAATTTGGGCTTATGCCCATGTGTACATCCTCTAACTAAGGATTCTGCTTAGCAGAGCCAGGAAATTGGGCCTAGTTTAAGTCTGAGTGGCTAGCTCTCGTTGTCTGTCCGTCATCCCTTGTGTTATGAAATGGCACAGGCAAGCTTCATGAAACTGCTCAGCACACAAACTTTCTAAGCATAAATAGGCTTGCTACTTAGCAAGAATAGGTAACTGGCCAGTTGTCTGTGAAAGGTTCTCAGCTGATTGTTGCTTAGCCCCACAGTTTGCTAAGTGATTAGGCAGACGTAACCAATGGGTATAGACAAATCCAGGTACGTGATCACTGTACACTCACGAGGCCCCCTCAATGGAGAAACCATTGTGCACACTATTGTACAAAGCAATTGCCCCGTGATGGATTATCTGAACAATAGTTAGCACAATGCTTTTGCCATTAAAGGGGGCCTCTGTGACAGATGTGACAGTGTGCTCAGATTGTACACATTTGCTTGTGAAAGGTTCTTCATTGAATTTTTGGGGTTAAAAAACAGTAAGGCATTTGTTCTAAGAAAATGGACCCAGACTGAACTTACATCTCTAATTCCTTGCCGAGTTCCTCCTCAAACTTCTTGGCCATCTTGAGTGCCGTCTCCTCCTTCCACTGGGTCATGCTCTGCTGTATCTCCCTCAGCTCAGAGTCCTTGTCTAGGAGACGCTGCTGCAGAGCAGAATCAGTAGTCCGTTGCCGTGATATCTGCTGTTGGAGCTCTTCTACCTGAGAAAGATGGTCCTTGGGACAAGAAAGAGAGTACAAAATGTTATCGACAGATAAATGACAAGATGTTCTCTTTGCTTGATATCTACTTTTTACATTCATACAAACATCTTAGCAAGATCTAACACTTTGTATGGTGTGCACGATAGGAAAATGCTCTCTGAACTAAGAGAATTAAAAGAACTAAGAAACTTTAGATAAAAAAAATGGGAATTTAATTTTACAATATCTCCAGATAGTTTCTTTTTCACTCTTGCCCATAATTTGCGGCCGCTAATTCATTTTCTTTGTATATAGACGTTTATCACCTGTATTAGCCTGTCTCTCATTGTATCCATGTCTCCAGACTTCTTTTCAATGGTATTTGCTACCTTCTTTACCTCTTCATCCTAAAATAACCAGACAAAATTTAATTTTCATTTACTTCTAAAACAACCTATCAACTGATAAATCGAATGGTTCAATGTATAACTAACACTCTTAAGGCCGGTTCATTCTCCGCATGGAGATGAATGCAAATGTGAATTCATGGCATCGCAGCATGTACTATACTTTTTTTTTACCGGCATCGCCGAAACACAAGGCCAAGGCCACTCAAAGGTGTTGACTACTAACTAGCAAGAACAGAGAAAGAATTAAACAAGTCCTAGCCACAACTCAGTGTAGAAGGGAAACTGAATAAATTTCGACTCAAGCAAATTTCTCCATGAACTTTTCATGACGTCAAATTCCTTACGCATTCGCATTCACACGACGTGTTAACCACTTTTTATACCTTTTCTTTCTGCGCTTTGGACAGCGCCCTCTTCTGTCTTTCCAGGTCAGTCTTGAGTGTCTGCACGAAGTTCCGAAGCTCTTCGTTGCTGATTCTTAGATTGGTCAGGGCAGCCATGACCTGGGTGCGCCCGGGGCCGTGGGTGGAGTCAGGCGTGCTGTGGAGGGGGCTCTTGGGTGACAGGGTTCCGTTGAGTGATTTGCTGCCCCTGATACTGTGTGGTGGGAGAAATGCAAAATATGGACTCTGCTTGTAACTGATCTCATTGAAAAAAATTTAAAAAAAATTCAAGCTGCATAAAAAAGTGAGTGTGTTATAGTGTAACTGGGAGATTATACGTTGAAATCCTTTCCTCATCTTCCAAGCTGGTTTTCCCGTGGCAATTCATCCTTCCAACTCTTAACTGCGAATTTCTCCATCATCCCTCTCTCGATCTGTCCCGGATTCTTTAGGCTTCCGAGTACTAATGCATGTGCACTTTTGAATTCTGGGCAAGATACACAACCAGGGATTGATTTCATAAAAAACTCGTCTTATCGCTCTTGGATCGATCTTAGCTATTAAGACGCATCCTAAGACCAATTTCACTAAACCCATCAAAAGCAAGACACATCGAAACTACCACTTTGATGGCTGTTCCTGTTTGTTTTTACTGCTTGAATTGATTTTAATTCAATTCATCGCTTTTCCTTAAATGACGGTAGTTGCGGGTCTTTGTGCAATCTAATTCCATACTGACCTTGAGATGTTCATCTTCATCGGGGTCGAGCCAATCACAGCCGCCGTTCGCTTACACTCCTCGTTGATCTCGGCCAGGATGCTCTTGCTTCCTGTTACCCCGGCCGACCTGGCCTCCTGGTCTTGATGAACCTTGACCTCTGACCTCAATTTGGTCAGCTCCTCCTCCTGCTGGCGTAGTTTCATGCGCAGTCTGTCCACCTCCAGTAGGTTTTCCTTGAGGGTAAAAAAAATAAGACAAATTCATATGGAATTATTCTTATGGAAAAATAGGCAAATGAACTCAAATTCAATATATGGACAATTAAGAGATTTAAAAGTTTCCAGGTGTGTATACACGTAGTTATTGCAAAAAATACTTTTTGCAATGAATTTAGCAAAATGCAACGCCACTTACCAACTGAATGGCAATTTGTTCCAAACATATCATCAGCTTCATGCATATTAATGAATGTTGTATCTATAATCCTACATTGGTCAAAATAAAACTAACATTTGGGAAAGGATTTTGTAATCTGCAATTTTGTTGACAATTATGATTAAGAAGGACCTGAGGAAGAATGGTAATAAAAATCTAACAATTTCTAGAAATTCAATATTCTGGGCACATTTTGCAACCTTAAAAAGCATTTCTACATCTAAAATCTTGTCATGGTCAGAGTTATGTTTGTTTCATTCGAGATCTGAAAAAACCCATCTCTACATACTATTCCATTAATTGAAATCACCTGAAAGAATATCTATATTACTAAAGATAAATTAATGTTGAGCATTTCTCCACTGCTTACTTTCAACACTTTAATCGTGAATCTCAACAGGGAAAGACTCTCCACGTACGGAACATGCGTGGGAGCACCATGGAATCGTTTATCGATACAGGAACTGATATCACTGTCACTACTACCCGCTCTATCCAGGCATGGGTAAGTCTCCATGGCAACCAGTTGTGCACTTTTTTCCCTAGCTAAATCAATTTTAGGGAAATGACGGGATAATTATCCATCATGATCCATCATCCATAATATGGTGGTCTTCAGTCATTCAGGTAATCTTCACATTGAAAGCTTTCATTTTGGTGCTCGTGATCACTTTTAACTGGTTCATCCATAGAAAGATCGTTCACCCCACGCATTGTCAAGGACATTATGCGCATACTCATTATGTCTCGTAAACTGAACGCGCTCCCTGGTGTCCTGTTACGAACAGCTGTGAACTGGTAGAGAAAGCGTATGTAGTCTGCTCTGTCTGGCAGTGTTCTTGCTCACATTTATCACACTTTGTCCAAGTACCTAAAATTCAGCACACAGTGCATGAAATCTGTTGGACTTCAAACAGTTCATTTCCACGTTTGCCAATTGCTGTCCAATTCAAGTTCACATAATTGTAATTGTTGCATATAAGCATAGAAGAATGATGAACATTCATACTGTAGACATTTTTCCAATTTCTGAATGAATTTCACTCATAAAATTCCCAGATGATCACGCATGCAGCTGATTTATTTTTCATTGTAAATATTCGCAATGAAATGAAGCAGCTCATGACAATTATTACCAGTGAGAATCTGTGAGAATTTGTTCGAATTATTTTTACTTTTACAAAGATATTGACTGGAGCAGGGTTTGAACCTGCAACCTCCGGATTACTGTTCCAGTGCTCTACCAACTGAGCTATCCAGCTTTATGTTGGCAGTTCCCCATTCTGTCAATGTTTCCAACTTGCACTAGTCAGATGCCATGTAGCCTGCAATTTGAAGAGTTTATCTGATGACAACCAAATCAGTGGATCCACAGTACAAGTACTTAAAACAGATTCACCAGATGAACGTGAAGATTAGAACAGAAACATGTCGCGCCACAGAGAAAGTTGGTAGGCATGTACTGCTGCAAAATCTCACATCAAATCTTGGCAGGTTGTATGAATGATGAATGACTGATTCCCCGTATTTCAAAGTCCGCAGCAAGATGGAGACAACCACGATTTAGATTGCTCAAAATCTATTAGCAGTGACGTTTGAAAACATGCAGATGACTGACAAAATGTAGCCACAAAATTCTCGTCCAAGACGCTGACTTGGTTAAAAATCAGATTTGACACGACGCAAGTTGACAGGAAGGCAGTACAATTGTTTCAGGATTATTCAGCTCCAAATAAACTCAACCAGCTTGAAGATTACATTCAGAGAAACTACTACAATGTTCGATCCACAGAATTCATAACTGCATAACATATTTCGATGAATATGATGGCTTCTGATCTGGGAGATTTCGTCCAATCAACTATCTGATGTGCTGTTGACATTGCAAGCTGCACAGGAAGCCCGCGCTGCACTACCGACTCAATCATATCAACATTTATCACAATTTGTTCAACGATTGCGCCAATTCAATGTCAATGGACGCCAAAAGATCCAAACCCCATCATTGCACACCAAATACAAACACTGGAACAGACTTTGGCGTCACTTGAGTGCCAGAACAAACTTTAAAATGAACTGTCATCACTCCATCCGGTGTGGTTTATGCAAATAAGGCTGTGTTTGCGTCGTCGGCCAATCATTTTGACCCCTGGCAAGTCAACCCATCTGTTTGCATTGAGTAGGCACTTGACATAGTCGTAGACCCCTTTTTGGTAACACTTGGCAGCCGGCCAACAAAGCAGTATCAAGTTCCTGGGATTACCATAAATCTCATTTAAGCAGACGACTATAAAAATAAGCAGCAATAAATATAAATGTTATTTCAGCAGACCACGTAGGCCATAAAAATAAAGACCACATGATGGCTTTGACTTTTGAAACTTGGTAACTGTTAAAGGTTGATGTGTACTAAGTGAGCACCATCGATATATCAATATTACTTGATTATTCAATATTATTTTGATATCGATATCGCCGCTAGCAATTTTTTTTATTATTGAAATATCAAAATGTTCAAAATTGAGGAATGATATCGAAAACTCGAAAATGCGTCAGATTATTGTCAAAATAAATCTCTCGTTTGTGCTTTTACTTTGTGTTCAACGTTTGCTGTATGATAAAATAAAACTTGGTGCCAAATTGTGCTTGTGACTCAAAATAAAAACATTGTGAAAGCCAAGCGGCGTTGCTTTTTGCTCTGCGTTTGCTGGAATTTGCAGTTTCCCCAATGTAAAACCTCAAAGAAACTGCCTGTTCTAAACAAACTCTCAGTGCTAAGAATTGTTTTTAATAATTTGAGCAATATGCTCTAGAAAAAGCTGTACAAAATTGTGACTAATTTTTTTTTAATTTATTTATTTTTAGAGTCATCTTTATGGTATTTAACTTTTACATGGAACAATCAGTATTTCAAATATTCTCAAGTGGATTTCTAAAATATCGATTATTGCAAATGCTGATATTGACAGTGCTGAGTACCAAGTGAAAGAAATATTGCTGTACAGCAGGCTTGAAAAGCCAACATGAGCACTTGTATAACAGCCAATCTGCTTAAAGAAATCTCACTGTACATGAAATAAAGCTAAACAAATTAAATTAAAGATGCATGCTCGTTGCTAATGCATGTAAAAAGATGTTCCCACTGTCACAATTTCTTAAACAATCTCCAATGATTTTTATTTAATGATAACCATTTCAGGTAGAATAATTTCACAGGGTATTTGGCGTCAGTCCTGTCTTCACTTAGAGAAAAGATTTTCTCATTTTTAAATCGAAAGGTACGTTTCCAGGTAATTTCAAACGTTCCTACGTACATGCCATTAATCCTAACTCCCTAGTGTGTGTGCAAAATCACATTAATAGAGGAGGATTTAAGATTCAACGCTAAGGTTTAGCGCTGAAAGCCAACGATAAATAACGACCAGTTTCTTGTCACCTTGGAACTACAAGGGTCATTTGCAGCAGTTTGGATCAGTGCAGAGTGCTATAGGGTCAGTTGAAGTTGTGATAAATGGCCATCAGACTTTTTTCCTTTTAACGTTTGTGTGCCTTGTGCAAACATCTAGTCTTGTCAACAAAATTCCATTCCGAACATAAAAGTATAAAAAGTATGTTTTAACTTATTCAGAAAGTAAATTTCGCTTTTCAATAAAAACTTGGACAATTATAATTCAAGCTCTACCCACATTAAAGTACATGTACATGAGTAACCCTGGAACAGTCAACTATAAATGCACACTGATTTCTGTTGAACACAAGCACAGATTCTTAGTAGCAAATGATTTCCAATTTCTTTGTTAATAAACAATAAAAATAATAATAACGGGTTCTTATAAAGCGCTTAAAGATCAAAGCGCTTTACATTATTATTACCCCTGATCAGTGGGCCAATGAAACATTCCAAATACCATCTCAGCTCCCTGGGGAGTATACATCTTCATGCAGCCTGTTAGGTGCAAGGAAGCTACTTCATTCACAATAACCATCTCTGCCCTCACAGGTACCCATTTACTCCTGGGTGGAGAGAAGCAATGAGTGACAAAGTGCTTTGCCCAAGGGCACACGCACCATATATAGCCCCATCAGGCTGGACTCGAACCCACAACCCGCAGAATTACCCGCAGACCACGAAATCAATGCCCTTAACCACGGGGCCACAGCACTTGTATTATATCTTTACAAGCAAGCATACATATTTGCTATTTTGCTATTGGGCAATTTCAGTCAAAGCAAACAAAAGAGTTGCGAGGTTTTAAATGTTCTGCACAATTGCCAACAAACAATTCAAACTGGTACAGAAAAGGATGAATAAGCATGTGAGATAATTGTCTTTTGCAACTGAGCAAATTTGAGTAAATCTGAGTAAAATTGGAGTAAAATTACCAATTTTTGTCAAACGGGCAATGAACTTATGATTTAAATACTACACAAACAATATACATCGGCTCACTGCCGTATTTCATGTTTTCACATTACACATTACGATTAATACGGAAATACATATAATGTAATATCGTTACCTTGGCAAGCTGTTCCCTGAGTTGATCTAACTCCCTCTGGATATCCTCCCTAGCTTTCTCCCTGGCCTCAGATACTGCCTCCACCTTCTCACGACCTGCCGCCAGATTCTCCTCCCGTAATTTATCCAACTCCTTCAGGGAAATATAAGGAATAAATCTTATACTAAAAAAATGTAATTGATCACCGAAGACCAAAAAAACAAACAAAACAAAACACCATATTTTTAATTGCTATCATCTCATCTATCAAAACAGCCAATTCATCCTTATGGTGACCATCGTAAGTACTTTTTTTAAATATAAAATTATTAAAAATAACGTGTTTCAATGAATATAGATTAGATATAAAAGAAATGCCAGACATTCAAAGATTTGTACATGAAAAAAAAAAAGGTAGGTTAGGTAGATGAATAGTTTATTAACAAAAAAGTCAATAAAAAAATCAATCTCATAGACACTAGCAGCACAATTAAAAAAAAAAAAAAACGGTTTAAGTATATTTTGTTTACTTAAATAATCAGGGGTGTGAGTGACCACTGATAAAAATAGCTGAAAACAGCTGAAAAAGGTGTAAAAAAGCTGAACTTTGGAAAACTCCTTTACTTTTGTACACAGCAAGTGAGGGAAAAAAGCTGCAATCAGCTTTAAAGCTGAGATTTTACACCCCTGATAATACAAATCAAAAATATCAAACAAAGGAAGATGGGAAAAGTATCATCTCAAAAACTTGTAGCTCATTGGTTCTTCTTTCAATATCCTTAGCAATTTGCCCTGCAATAAAAGCGTTTTTAAAACGTTGAAAGTGGTAGGATACATGCACAGGCAGTTGTTAAGCTCTGGCATTGGCCTACCACCCAAATTGACACTGTCAGCAAGCGTGTAGTGAAACTATATTCAGCATTCAATTCAATTCAATTCAATTCAACTCAACAGAACATTTATTTCCATACCTTCAACAGTAATAATGACACTAGAATAATACAATTATGTCAGCACTTAATGTAATGCTAACTGAATGTCACAAAAAGACAGCAGATAAATACATATGGAAATAAATAGATAAATACTAATTGTATAATATAAACAAGATGAAGGCACTTTCAAGAAGACGAGGCTTGTATAGAAATGCCTTTTAATGTAAGAACATTAACAATTATTATTTTAAACATGTACAACGGACAAAACACAAAACAGGATGACTAGGACAAGACCAAAAACCAGACAGACAGATATACTAGGAGTGACGAAACACGAAAATGGATTCCGAAAATGAAAGAAGGTGGTGTAACTTAAGATAAACAATCAATTCCAAACATAAACTGTTAAAGAAAGAAAAATATGAGAGTAAAGATGAGAAAGAAACTATGTCACATAATGAGAGATAAGAGCTCGTTTGTGAGATCGTTTGAATTGACCAACAGACGGCTGGGGTTTTGTTGCTTTGCTTGATACTGTTCCAAAGTATTTTTTCCCCCTTAATGCACCCACCTCTTTCAGGACTCCGACGGTGGTCTGCTGGTGCTCCAACCTCTGCCTAGTAACGAGCAGCTCTCCTTGTAACCGTGACGTCTCCTTGGCAACCTCCAGCTCCTTCTCCACGTTCTCCTCCCTCCGTCTCCTGGAGTATTCCTCCTCCCTGTCCTGTCGCTCCTTGTCCACCGCTGCCTTGATCTGGGGTTAAAATGCAATTGTAAACTGTGATTTCAAGGATAGTCCGAACAAAATTATTGGAATTTGGATTTGATCGAATGATCAAAAATTCAACACATTGAGGTAAAAACTATTCATGACTATGCATTTATCTGTAAGTGCTATTACATGTAGCTGATATTTGACAGATTTCAAAGATGCAAATTAGGGCTAATATTCTTCATAGAAGCTCTAAAACCTTGCCTGTAAAGTGGATGCCCACAAAATTGTGGCATTTGAAGAACAAAATTGTTAACTTATACAAATAACATTGCATCGTGGACATTTTTGGTTATCACGTATTTCAAATATTCTATTTGGTAAAATGCTATTTGGGTATTCTGTTGATTATCGAAACAATTGGACAGTCAGCATATTCGGCACAGCCCTAGCAGACAAAAAAAAAATCGCACTTCAGAATAGGGTTGCACTTTTCTTTCCCACTCACCCATGTGTTTAATGAAATTGTACTTTTCTGGCTGCTGCTGTTTATTCAAAATGCAGTACTTATTTGGCGTGAAACGCATAGTCTACATGTACAAGAGTAATTTACTACACACAGCAGAAACGCTCTGCCAACTTCAATAAATGCAATTTAACACTTTCGCTGGCACATTCTGCCACTTAGCTGGTGACTTTAATTGCTCGTGTCATGGGTTTGAGCCTAGGACACTGAGCTTGGCTCTTGATATTTGGTTGACAAAGCCAAAAAATTGACGAAGTGACCTGGAACGAAGATATTTGCTGGCTCCGCCAAGTTTAATATAAGTCAGTTTTAGTGCCGTGCATTTTTAAACTTGATTGAATATTTGAGACATTTGACAAATGCTAGCCGTTGATCAGGTCAAAAATGGACAAAGAGCTTAATAAAATAATATAAAGAACATCATGTATGGATTGATATAATTTTTCATAGTGGAATGGCTGATGCTTTACAAATCTAAAGATGGAATGGAGTTACATGGCTTTCGACAAAAGTCTGCCATTTGACAAAAAAAAGCCATGCAACTTTTACAAATAACATATCATGGACATTTTGTATCATCTTTTCAACACAGCTCACATTTTTTGAATACTTGAATCGAAAAAATGCTATTCAGATATTAAGTGGAAAGTTGAATACTCAAATATTTGGTATATTCGGCACAGCCCTAGTAGGTTGTAATGTACGTCGGTTTGTCAAATATTTCCCGTGGTTTTCTCTGTTTATTATTCTGCTGTTGAACATTTCCCCACTAAATCACAAACTTCTTCAGCAAATCACACCTGCTCTTCTGCTTGTTCCCTGAGTTGTTGTTCCATCTTGTTGGCTTCCTCCGTGTGTTGCACAAGCTGCAACTTGACTGCTTTCAGGTCTTCTTCTTTCTCCTGCAGGGGGAGGAAGCGCGATGACGTTATTGCATTTGTACATAAATTTTGCTAAGAAATTACTCAAAAACACAATGATCTAAAGAAATATGTTGCTGGGAGATAAGTTGTGCTAAAAGTTCACCCCAAATTTATTTCAACGTAGCACAGAATGCTTTCTGAAGAATTTTTAAATGTTTGTTTGTTAATGTTTCACAGCTTGCAGAAGTATCACATGAAAACTTCTCAGTCCCCCCCCCCAAAAAAAGGGGAAAAAATACAGAATTATTAAAGGAAGCAACACAAATTAAAACTCACTGTTAAAGAGCGCTGAGTAATCATCATCATCTCTGAGGTCTTCTCATCCAGCGCAGTGAGTGCTTCCTTTTTTTCCTTTTCAAGACTCAATTTGAGCTGTAAGGGAAATAAAACATGGGGCAAAATATAATTAAAATCAAAAGGATTAAACCGGAAAACTGTGGCCTTGTTTTCGTGGAACTACTAAGCAGAACAAAATACGATTGAATTTTAAGCTGAAAGCTTAAAAACCAAAACTAATTCAGCTAACAAAATTAGCAGCAATACTGAGGTGGACACTGTGGAACCACGCTCGCATGCATGTCGCTCACGTTACGTCAAGGTGCATGCACAGTTGGTAATCCTATTGGTCGAAGGCACATTGAGTGCATGCGTACCTACTGAGCACGAGCGCGGTGGTATATTGAGTTATCCCACGAGCGCACAACACGTTCGCCATTGAAGGGGATCTTCGTGATAAAATTGATAGCGTGCACGGACTGGTCTATAACGCCTCAAACCGGTGCGGTATGGATTAATGGATTCATTATGGAATAAATACAATGCCTGAGACAGCACACCATCATGCATGTCATGTAAGTGAAAGCACCCAATGACCTCCATTGTTGCCATCCAATCACTCTTTCCACCTGAGGGACCACTTACTTGTGCCATCTCCTCCTCCTTCTCCCTGAGTAGTGTCTCCCTCAACTCCACCAAGGCAAGCTCCTTAGCAACATCCGCGTTCCGCACCTTCCCCTCTGCCTCCTTGATCCTCCTCTCCGCCTCCCTGCGATCCTCCTCGGCCTCCCGCTGCATCTCCACCATCTTGTCCCTGAGGGCGCTGTTCAATGCGTCCTTCTCCGAGGCTGTGGCTGTCAGGGACTGGAGCCGCTGGTCCCGCTCATGGGCCTGGTGGCGAAGTGGGTCCAGCTCCTTCTGGAGCTTGCTGCTCAGCTGCTCAAGAAGCTGGTTTCTTTCCTGAAAAAAATATATGAAACAACAAACGTTTCTTAGCATCAATACGCTTCACATTCACACTTGACTAAAGTATAAATTGCCCTTAAGATATCTGTTTCTTTTTTTTTTTAAATTGACTGCAACAGCTTCACGTGATGACTAAAGTTACCTGCTTGACAAAGTTAGTAGAGACAGTCAATTTTATGATGTCACTTTTAATTTTGAAATATGTACATGAATCCAGTGAGACATTACGGCGTTTGGCCGGAAACCATGACTTTGGTGTAACCCCACGTTCTATGTAAAGGCCAGCTCATACTCGGCGCAAAAGCGAACGCAAATTTGTGACGTCACAACAAGTAGGCGCGCTGCCAATTCACACAAGCTGAACACATATCAACTCTGACGAAGTTCAAAGCAATTGTTTTTCTGACGTTACATTCACTTCGCATTCATGTGAAGTCCGCAAGTCCAAATGGCATTGACTTTACAATCAAATTTGGCTTATTTAACTGTTCTTGGAGCCTTTTTTTATTAGACATCACAGCTTATTTACAAATGTCTTTTCTAACTGCGTATTGCCAACAGTGGTTTACATGATTGCCAAAGTAATTAAAGAAAATAGGAAGAATTATCCACAGAGCGTTAGGTATCTAGAACTTTAAATTTAGCCAAAAGATGGAACTGCCAGCAGGAACTACCAAGACAAAAGGTCCAAGGTTGCCTTTAATAATAAGAAAATGGCAAGAAAAGGACAGATCAGGTAACTGCATGAACTTGTACTTTTGAATAAAAGTTCCTTACACTTCACACTAACGGCTCAAATCATTCCTTCAATAACATTTCCTCGGACATATCCTGCTTGAATGCTTTGATCTTTTCAGTGGCTTAGAGACGTCCCTACGGGCAATTTGCGGAGAAATTCCTGAGTGCCATGATTGGAATCAAATCAAATTAAACGACTGTTATTGAGTTAGGGAGGGAAGTGATTTGAAGCCTGAGCAGAGACTACGGGTACCGCGATTTTTTATGGAGCAGCGTTTCTAACATTATTTGATGTGGATGCACATTTACATGTAAGGGCTGCTTATTTTATTCAAAGTAGGCAGTCTGTTAAACAAATCCGACAACCCAATGTCGTTAATAAGCAAGGCTTGTACGTCAAACTGTCACGCTACAACATACCAGGAATATTGAATATGCCACAGTATAATGAAGCATTTTGGCAAAATGAGACGGAACGAAATGGCACGAAATGAAAAAAAAAAAAAAAAAAAAAAAAAAAACCTGAATGGAGGTGATTATTTTTTCGATTTTCAGATTTACTGATATTTGTTATCTTTGATATGTTTGTTACACATATTTTAGTATCAAAATCGTGGAATGAAAGAGTTTTTTCTTTCATTTTCACAACTATAAACTTGAAACTTTAAAGACCTTTTTCTTTGTACATGTATTTCACTTTTTTGACATGGCGATGAATGCAAACTTGAAACAGCCATAACTTGTCAACGGAATGTCCAACTGAAGTGCAACAAACAATACTGTAAGGAGATTTTATGCTCTATCCTAATACCCGCAAACCCTCATTTCGACCTCTGCCCAGTTCCGTCTCATTTTTCCAGGATGCCAAACATATATCGGGCACAAAAGAAAACAAATTGTGTTTAAACATGCTTGTGTTATTTAGCGGAAGTGCAGAAGACTCGTATTTTAGAGGTTCAGGGTTGGAATCTTGTACATGGACATTTTCTTCATTTTTGATTTAAATTTTTTCAGTCAAAAAAGATCAATTTTTAACAAAAGTACAAGATTCCTGTCCAAAATTGTAGCATTATAGTTTGTTGTATTGAGGGGGAAATACGCACTCTCCAATGCATGCTGACGTCTACAGGTCTTACACATCACATAACAAATACCAGTATGTAATATTCTTCATTATGTAAAAATAATACAATAATATACCGCACGCTTATAACTCACTATTTTAACGTAGAAGACTTACAAATGTACTTATTAAAATTACAAATGAGTAGTGGAATTGGCTGTTTTTCTTACCTCTAAATGCGAGTGCATTTCATTGCTCTGCTCGGATCCTACCAGAGCCAGTAGTTCTTGCACCTTCTCCGCTAGGTTAGTCTTCTCTACCAGCAGTTCGTCCATCCTGTGGCGGCTTTCATCCAACTCCTGATAAGGAGAAAGATGACGGACTTATTTACATGTAACAATTTAAGTAGTTCAAAAAGTTCTCAAATGGCTCATATTAAGTGACAGATTGACAAACTTTTCTGAATCCGACAGCTTAAATTTGAAACTTGAAGATAAACTTGGGACACGTGTGTGAATCTAGTGTGTAAATGCATGTCTTTTATGGCTCTGACGTACAGCCCCATGTACAGTCACATTCGCATCAGTTTCACCTCTTCCAGAGATTCCAGCTTTTCCCGGGATGACTTCTGTCCGTTGAACAGCTCCTGCTTGGTGTAGTTGAGTTGTCTCTCCAGTTCCGACCTCTCAATCGGAGACAGGTCTCCCTCGCCGTTACGTAACCTTGTCTTCAATTCATCTCTCTCCTTGATCACTGCGATTACCTGCAAAACATATCATGAAGGGGGCAATGAGAGAAATATTTTTGAATTTTCGAGAGAAATCAGCAAATTGTAAACCCAATCAACCCAAGCCGGTTGGGATTTTAACAACAGACAAGTATCAGGACAAAAAGCTGCACCGAGAAAGTTGTGCATGTGCACAGTTGCTTGTCACCAAAAGCCAATTTGACCACAGCTGTCCCAAACTGAAATCAACATGATAATGCTTGAATGTCTAATAATAGAAAGGATTCGCAATATGATCTGGAGACGTTTAGTGTGCCGGATAGGTCATCATATACGCAACTTGCTATGCTATTCGCTGCGCATGCACACAGCACGGATATATCATGGTTTCAGGTCTGTGAGAAACACATAGTAAATTGTCAATTTTCACCCTCTTTTCTTATAAGATATCTAATCATGTATGATTTTATTGAAAGATGATTAATTGCTGAACATATAAGTGTCATTTGTCTGTGTTTCAAAGCAAGAATAGCTGCCGATACAAGGTTTTCATCAGAGGCTGCCATTTTGGATAACTGCTTGGTTCCTATAGCTACATGTATGCAGATGGAATGGTCAATAACGGTCATACGTGTAGACAGCTATACGTTTCGGTTAGGGTGTGAAACCTCTCTTCTGAACAAAATAATTGGACATGAATGAGATTTGGATCTGTGACCTGTACCTCTTTTGGAGATAGTCCAAGAAGGTTATTGCCCGTGCCAGCATTCTCTTCTTCCGACACTCCGTGTCTGTGGGACTGCTTGAAGGATCCAAGTGATTGGGTCAAATCTTCAAGATCCCTCCTGGCTTGATCACGCTGGTACTCCAAGACCATCAACTCTGACCTAGGAGGTGGAATTTTATGGGATACTGTATAGTTGATATACACCTGGTAGACTAATCGGGCCAACAAACTTAGAAGCATTTTTGAGGTGGTACCACGTCCGCGCCCACACCGCATGGATTCTTAAAGACAACATGGGTGCGCATTTTGTTAACTCTATAAAGAGCCCTGAGTGCGTGCATACTACCTGAGCGCGACTCGCGCGAGCCTGGTGCGCACCACCTCAGAAAAGATACAGATATAGATTACATGCACAACTAACAAAGAGGAAATTATATTGGGCTCTTTATTAAAGTAATGGATACCATTTGCAAAAAAAAAATTCTGCCGATTCAAGGAACAATAGAATAACTCTGAAGCAGGTCATTAGCAAAAAAAGCAACACAATTTCAGCTCACTAGATATACTTTTGAGAAAACTATGCACAAGCATCTACATTTTTCTTGAAACAAAACAATTGGTTTCCAAGAAAACCCTCCCTTCCAAAATGTTTATTAACACATTTTGACTTGCACTCTCTTGTGGTATGATCCCCACTTTGTCACCTGGGAAAATAATTATTGTTCATAGATATGTAACCGATTACAAACTTAACCAAATTTGGTTAATTGAAAACAGCTTTTGAAAAAACTTGTAAAAAACTTTTCCTCATAAAGGTTTGGCCCAAATCATAGCTGGAAAATGACGGTAATTCCTCTTTCCTAAAAAATGACAGCATACTAGGCACAAAGATTTCACAGGATGCTTGATACTAACAATCAAGTAGGATATATTTCAAAGCATTTTGACAGTTTCGTCTTCTGAACGTTTGTACATGTGTCTGTTCCCTTCAATGCACTGCCGCTGTGCTCTCGGTACTCATGCAAAGAAGATTGATTGTGAGTACTTCTTGCCATATGCGCTTGAACCAGTGTGTGAATGCACTTACTGTGTCCTGCACATGGAACTCTCACAACTCACAAACAAAGTGCTATCTTCTGTTCAAGCATTAAACATCCATAACATGTTCAAGGCCAATCATCTCTAAGGACACCTATGTAGAAACTTGGCAGTGAATTTCTGCATAAAAGCATAAAGCCTTGATCATTAGATAGAGTTGTAATGAGCCGTCACAAGTCAATTACCGATCAATCATAGGGCATCCAGACTCAATTCAAGCCAAAAGCTTACTAAACGAGCCATGATAACATCACTCCTTTGTTGTTTTGCATTCTTTATGATACTTGTGATTCAGAATGGTATTTGATTTGCGATGTGACATGCAATAACTTGTAATTGATTGGATTAAAATTCAAAAACTGAGAGTGATGTTTTGCACTTTTGCCCATGGGTGGATATTTGTACGAGGAATCAATAGGGTGCTTTATTCAGAGGTTAGGCTGGGGAAAAAAATGAAAAATCCATGAAAAAATCGCCAGAGGGTTTAAGGGTCACCAAGAGCCCCAGAGCAATGTTGGGTTCTATGGTATATGTTTGTATTTGCCTAAAGGGCAATTCCGTAAAATTCAACCAAACGTCCGACCACATGATGAACATGTACAAGGTCATTAACCAGTTCACGTCGGATGCGTGCTAAGGTTTTGCGGTATTCGGAACGGATGGCGGATATACACGCAGGGAGCGAGGCCGGAAATATCTGTCAGCGAACCGCTCGCAGCGAGCGTGGCCGGATATATCAGGGTGTGCTACCTGCAGATGACGGCCTGAACTCGTCTGGCATCGAGGTTCGTGAAAAACAATCCCGCGTCAGTTGATGTCAGAACAATCCCAGCGCAAACTAGTTAAAGATGGTGGTACATATGTACCTTTAGTTTAGTACTCCTTAATGGTTCTCTACTCATGAGACGCCGCATTATTAGTGATGTAACACATTCACTTTTCCAACAGCGGGTCATTGAAGTGACTGACATGTACGTCCGAATTTACAGAATTGCCCAAAAGGTACCCCTTAAAATTATAACCCATTTCTTTTGTTTGTTTTAAAACCGTTATAGGTAAAAATACCTTAACAGTACGACCTCATGAATTCCAAATTACAAAAGGGATTTTTAAAAATCCCAAAATCAGAAGATTCCTGGAATTGGGAAATATTGTGACAAAAAAATCCTGTAGTCAGGAAGCATCCAGACATATCTCATGCCTGCTTATTAATGACTTATATATTTCGAAGCTTTCAGGACAGTTACATGTACTCTCCATCCTGAACACATTTTCAGATCCGAGACAACTTTTACATTACAGACTTGCTCTTCCTACACCATCTCTCTTCATTGGGGGTTTGTAGAATCCCTAGAGAAATTTAAAGAATCCTTGAAGAATTGTTGCCCATTATCTAATATCTGAAAATCTTACCTGAGACCATCAGCTCTCTCCATGTTCTCTCTGGCAATCTCCTCAGCATTCTGGATGTCTCGCTTGTTACGATGGACCGCCTCGCGTAGTGTCTTCAGATCGTCTAATGCATCCTATACCACAAACAATGCGGAAGTGTAACAATTTGGTTGCGTGCACTCATAATTTGTCTATAGATTATGTATTCAAATTAATTCCTGTCATCTCCTGACCTGTTTTCTGGAGGAGACTTCCTCAAAACTCGACTCCAATTCATCCAATTTCCTTCTCATCTTGGTCTCTGTTTCAAGCTGGAAAAAAATCAGGAAAAGCATAAATTAACACCTGCAGGAGCATCTGGTAGCCCTGTGTCTATGCAAGAAAGACAATTGGCAGCACTTTGAGCATGGCATGAGCACAAACTCAAGCTTCGTCAAATTATGCTAAAACCACGTGATTTATACGTTCAATGGCCAACTTCTGAGAGACATAAACGTGAGCTAAAGATACAATTAAGTGCAATGACTTTCTGGATGGCAGTTTTCTATAAACTAAGATATTGTCAAATTTCAGGACTACCAACACAGAATAGCTTGTTAGAGCACCGGTAGTGTACAGAACAGGTTGCAGGTTGAAACCCCGCTTAAGTAAATTTCATTGTTCAATGTTATAATTGGGTAGTAATTACCACAATCAATAACAAATGTCCAAAATTACACATTTGTTTGAATTTTGTTGAAATGTTTGGCTGAAAAACTCACCAGTTCTCTGATCGTGGCCTGGTGATCATTACTGGTTCCTTCCTCCGTGTCCCCCTCAATGTCCCTGCTGCCATCCCCCCGGTGTCTGGTGTTGGGATTTGCCTTTGGAGTGGAAGTCTTGATGCCGTTGTCTCTCAAGGGTCTCTTCTTCTTCTTCTTGTTCTCCTGCTTCATCCTAGGAGCATCTTCAGGATGGCGGTGGCCGTTAACTCTCGAGTACGAGTTTGCCTGATGATCTCTGCTTTTGGAATGGCCACAGAATAAACTTAAATCCTCTGCTAATACAGGGTGGTCGAGTGGTAAGACATCTGCACTAGAAAGCAGGGGGTCGTAGATTCGAGTCCCACCCGAGTGATTTTTTCCAACTTTCACTCGGGAGGTAACACACCGAACATACAGTGTTTATACATCGGTGAAGGGCAAAACCTAATTTGATTTACATCACCCCGACGCAAAAATTTCATCCTATAATAAATCTTTCTTAATTAACGCTGGAACTGCTCGAGCCAGTTACATTGGGAAATATTAAGAGAAAAAGATCCCTCCCCCCAAAAAAACCCTGCACTGGCTGATCTTGAATAGAATGCAAATTGTACCCTTGGAAATTTTTGTACATGTAGCTTGGTGATCATTACAAAGGCCAGCCTTTGGCAGCAAAATTTTGTATTGTGCAATGTACATGTGATAGCCAAAACAATCTTCTACGAGGAATAAATTACTAAGCTTTACATTTGACTAAATAACCTTGAAACCCCTCCAAAAATATCCTTATCTAAAAGCGTGTACCTTATGAATCCACCCTCCTCCTCCTCCTCCTGGTGTAACTCATCAAGTTCTTTATCTGTGTTTTTATTCTCAATCTCTACTTGTGACCTCTGCAAATCTTCCGGTGATTCGCTACCTAAGGCCTCTTGTAACTGTTGCATAAGATTTCCTGCCTTGGTACATATCTCCTCAAATGTCGGTGAGAGGCGGGACGATGGAACCGGCGAAGGGCAGTCGAGACTGCGACTTCCTTGGGAGGAGATGGACATCCTGTTCTCAGCAGGCTGAGAAGAAAATCCTTTCCGAGCATTAGACAAAGCCGGGAAATTGACTTCCGACAAGAAGGTTGGGAGTTGGTGAGAAGCACACAAGTTGTCATCCTCACCGGTTTCGATAAAAGCCACTTTACCGTCGGATGACGTCGAGACATTCACAAATTTCTCACACCTGTAGTATTGAGAATGAACGACAGCGCTCCCGTGCGCCACGTTTGGACCATTTGTAGGCAACAATTTAACATACACAAAGTCTGATGTTAATTTCGGCAGTTCCTGGTTATACTTAACTTCGGAAACACTGCTAGAAGTCGGATACACTAACATAGGATAAGATGGAATTCCAATTTTATCAAGCACACAATGTGAACCTCTCTCATTCTCACTCGGAGCACTGTCTTCAAGGTGATCAAAAGAAACCACAACTGACTTTGGAGTTTGTTCTAAAACAGGATCCTTGCCCTTAAACTCAACCATAGTCCCAGGCTCAGTCAAATTTGACACCTCACACTCTGTACAACTGGTCTCTATGCCTGTGCAAAGGTCAAATGAAAATTCGTCCTCACCATCCTGATCTTTCTCATCAACTACATGTTCCATTATAATTTTACAAGAGGCTTCAAAGTCTTTTATTTGCAGTGAATCAGTTTCATCAGATAGTTCTGACAGCTTGGACAAGCTCTGGCTGTCTGCCGAGTCACAATGATGCTCAAGGTCTGGGACCACTTCTTGCAAAACGCCCACATTTGGGTTCACCTGCTTAGCACTCAGACTTGCAGAAAAAGGGTTTCCGTTGAAGGTATCAGTCAGGGGACCAAATGATGGTACCGAGAGGAAATTTCGAGATTTCCGGGAAGCAGTGGCCTGAAATTGCCAACTCCTTCGCCTTGCTGCGGTTGTGGCGCTCGGTGTATCTTTGTTAGCACCAGTGCAGTTTTCATGAGTAGAAGCGGACATATTTTGGACGTCTGACTTACTTAGTGGCTTGTAATCACTTGTCCCATCAACATGAATGTTTGGACTGATGACTTTTGTCTCAACTTCTAAAGCATCTACATTGTCAGAAGTGGCGACGGTGTTCTCATCGTGTTGTAAGTTTTCTTCACAGAGGTTTGAGTTGTTTGTCACCTCCTCCTCACAAACCTTGGCACTTTTGGATGTATCAGTGGTACTTTTGTCAACGGGATGGACAGCGATGTCGTTTTCATCTCTAGAATTTACGTCCTTGTAACGCTCATCTTCGTGCAATTTACATTTCCCATTCTCATCTGGTTGTACAGAATTTCTTTCTTCCGTAGAATCAAGGTCAGCTAATTTTTCCACCTCAGGGACAGTTTGTTTATAAGGAGACTGTGGTTCCTCTGCGACTCTCTGCTCATTTTCTTCTTCACTCTCATCATCCTGAATGCTGACAAGGCTCCGCTGTCGAATGTGACTCTCCAACTTAGCAGCCACCTGCTGTAAGGTCTGCATTGTTGTCTGTGGTCGGCGGAAAATGTCTGACCCAAACGAGCCGAATCCCTCGGTAGAGGAGCTGCTGCGCTCAGTAATGATGCGTCCAAAGCCCGAGAGCAGTGGCTCCATGCCATCGCTGTACAGGGTGCTCCGCTCGCTGAGTGTTCGTAGTTTCCTTCGCTGGAAATTCAAGTGAGCCTCTACCGAGGTGCTTCTTATGATCTGGGGCTGATCAAATCCCAGTTTCCATTCCTCCATGCCATTTCTCTCGCTGTGCAAGCGGTCCAGAAATTCGGTGTGTTTTTTTGTTGATTCCCAAGCAAAGAAACTGCTCTTTACCTCAGAGGTAAAATTAGCTTTGTCAGTTTGTCTCGAGCCATTTCCTAATTCTAAATCAGACATTTTGACATTTTCTGAGGGAATGCTGCCTCCCGGGGGAATTTCTCCATCTGGATTGTTTGCGGAGGCCTGGTTGTCATAAGCAGCTTGCTCATTGATGAATTGCCCATTGCTGGAAAATTGGCTATGGTCCCCTGGGTGGTTAACGGGCACAGAATCCTTGGTGAGTTCATCTGTCCTTAATGAGGTACGGTTCTGGCAATTCCCACGACAATCGTCATGCTGGCAACCTGCAGCGTTTTTCTCATAACCAGTCGGTTTTTCCTCACTTTCCTTGCCATCAATAACTGAGATTGCCGGTGCTGTCTCGTCTCCGGCTTTATTCAGAATGTAGTTTTCAGAGATTGGTTGTTTGCTGAAGATGATAGTATCGCTCTGAGCCACTGAACGACTGTTTTCTTTGCAATCATTATGATCTAATCCTGTCCGACCAGAGTTGGTGCCATTTTGCACCTCATTATCCCATGAACCAGTAGAGTTCACATCAGTCCCTGATTTATTCCTGGCACTCTCAGAAGAGATGTCAGTTTTGAAATCAGTTTCATCCAATTCTGAACAATGCATTTCAGGACCATGATCATCCTTTGACAGACAGGGTGATGAGTTGTGACTTTCTTCACTGTTATCATTAAGATGATCAGAAGCAGAAGTGTTGGCAAGGTTCGAAGCCTTGTACACCATCGCCGTCAGCTCAGGAAAGGCGACTTTTGAGAAGCTCTCCCCATCTGAATATTGTTCTCCATCCTCATCCTCTTCAATGGTGGCATCAAAATCAAAATCCACTTTGGAATGACGAGGGGAAGAGTAAAAGCTGTCCGATGACTTGAAGGGGTTTCTGGATTTCTCAACTGGATTTGAGGTTGTCGGGTCAAGGGGCTCAGAATTTTGAGGCAAGTCGTCAAATTGGAAGCGGTTCTGACCTGAAATACCTGAGGTTTTGTTATTTATCATAGAGAGTGGCGACAGAAGTTCTTGGCTATCCTGGATGGCTTTATCCATAACCGATATTCGATCAGAAGGCTCTTGGCCAAACCCTTGTTCTTCGTCCTTTTCGGCAATGATTGACAATCCTCCATCAGATATCTCCTGGCTGAGACTTCTTAGTGATGAATCCGAGACGAGTCCATCTGCTGTAGTCTTTACGGACTCAAGCGAGTCATGCCTTTCTGCAGAAACACCACCCTTTTCGTAACCTACATCTGAGGCTGACCCACTCGGCAAGACAAATATTTCTGGCGAGACATTGGTTGCTGAGTTGTTGCCATCAGACAAACTGTCTGGGTGTTCGCTGATTGAGCCAAGGAAGAAAAGTGGCGAGAGCAGGGGAGAGTGTAGGGAGGGACTGGTCTGACAACAGGCCGAGACTGAATCACTGATGTGGCCTCCCACAGGGGAATCAAAGACATCATTGTCCTCTTCGGTAATGGTTTGATGAAAATCATCCTGGATATCTGCCAAAGAAGGTCTCCTTCTGTCACTGCTTGTGCTTGAAGAACAGCCACTCAGTTTTGTGTCTTTGGTTTGAGGTACGGGCACTATGGTCACATCAGCTAACCTGGAAGTTTCTGAGGTTGACTTGCTCTCTGTCGATGGAAGCTCCTCTCTCTTGGGTGATTGTTCTTGCTTAATGTGCTGGCCTTGGAAGTTTTCATCGGGGCAAGTTGACGGACTGGCTCCACTGATGTCATTGTTTTCTTTAGAGGGAACAATTACCAATAAATTGTCTGTTTTGCTGTCTGGAATTTCACTGGACCTGGTTCTCTGTGCATTGAAATCTGCAGTGGTAATTGTTTTTGAGCATGTACCTTTCACTGTTTCATCCTCACTGCTTCGGGGAGAAATCTGTGGGCTTCCTGTCCGAGATGGCTCATTTTCAAATCCAGAGTCCTTGGAATCGATGATGGCTTTCACAACAAGGTACTGCTCCATGCTAACTTTTTGATCCTTCTTGTCAGTGTCAACATCAGCGATGGCCTCATCCACATCTACATCCACGTCAGTTGTGCCCTGCCTGGACATAGCCTCTCGTGACTCAACACTGGGCTGTTCCATGACAATCTTCAATTTACAGTGAAATGCTGGCTGGTCTCCCACTTCTAGACTCTGAGGTTTGAGTAGATTCTTTCGGGCAGAAGGACTTTCAGTATCTGCCTGTTTAGATTTCACCAATCCAGGTTTCAGGCTCTCGTCCTCCTCTTGAAGGGTCTCAAGGGAGATTGGAAGTGAGCTCTGCTTCTTCATGTACTTTCTTCGTCTGTCCCTGGCACTTGATTTATGACTCTTGTGGAATGGACTGTATTTCCCACCTCCTGGTGATCGTCTGGCTGCTGGAGGCTGATCCCCTTGTTGGAGGGCTACAATTTGTTGGTTTGGTGGGCCCTGCCTTGAATTACTTATCTCTGACAGGGTCTGTCCGAATGAGGACACTGTTGCGGCCTTTTTTAGAGAGCGTCTGAGCCCAACAAGCTTGGCTTTGTCAGCTCCACGCTGCCTGCTCATGACAGCATCTTCCACTTGCTGTGAATTTGAACTATCAGACACCAGGGAACTCGTGGAACTTGATCTAGGAGAGTAGGTTGAAGTGCTGGGTAGATTGTGGTTGTGGCGATCCTCTTTCCTAGGTAATGGAATCTTCTCTTTTGGGGAGTGAGTTTTCTCAGGCTTTGTTGGCAAATGCTGAAGGAGATGGTTGCTGGTCGTGTTACCCAGAAGCCTTCGAACCTCTTCCACACGCTGTTTGAGCACCTGCTCTCTCCAAGACTTAAGAAAGCGGGACGGTATACCCATGTTTGCTCCTCCGAATCCAAGATTGATAAGGACATCCTCAGCAATGGTCCAATCTCCCTCTGGGTGGTCGCTGCCAGGTGAGCCGTGACTGCTGTCCAAGCTGGCACACCTGGAGATCATGCTGACAGGGGAAGAGTTCCCTACACGAAGTGCCAGCTCCAAGTCTGTCTCATTTGGAAGCCGAATCTGACGGCCACTTTTCCCAGGAATCACATCCCCGCATTGCATCTTCAGAGCAGTCAGTGACCTCTCCTTATTCAGGTCACAGCTATGCTGTCCCCCTTCTGGTGCCTCATGGCTTCTAACAAGTGGGTCCTCAGGCAGTCCCACATAAGATCGCCGACGGGCTGTCTCCGCTCTGGTCTGATCGACCCACTTGGCAACACTGGAGTTCATTTCGTCCTCATCATCCTCGATCAAGCTCCTCCTGGACTTTTCCTTCAGGTGGCCAGATCTCCCTCCTTTTGCAGAGGCAGATTGTGTTGAATCAGACGTCAGCGATGAACCCTGATCATCCTGTTCGTGATCAAACAGGTGGTCCTCAGCAGGTATGCCACTTGCCCAGGGTCCTCCGTCGACTTGTGGATGGGACTGGTCAAGGCTACTTGAGGTGCTTCCAAAGCTCTGCAATCGACTTGGCCCACAGCTGTTGTCCAGGGACTGAAGTGAAGAACACTGGTGGCTGTGAAGGCTCTCAACTTCCTCGTAGGTGGAAAAGGAGTCTTGGCGTTGGGAATTCCAGGCAGCGGCACGCTGGCGGCCAACCGAAGGATCTTGCCATGATGGGAAGTTTGCTTGTTCAGTTCTGGAGACACAAAGAAGAAAAAAAAGAAACAAACATTCATGAGACAAGAGGATTTTTTTTCTTTCTTTGAAAATGTTACATTGCACCGACAGAGTACTCCCACAAACACAATTAACAAGTTCATGATTGACACTACATTACCATTTTTAACTAGTTTCCATAACACGTTTTATGATCCACAGGTAGGATGCCAAAATAAAAGGCGTCCACCTACTTTAGGACAACAGGCACTTCTCAATAATACATGCAGATTACATGTACGAGGAGAATGCCGCTGCTGTGCTCAAATACGTGTTGTGCTCTGCAGGGCACTCTTAAGACTGAAAGATCCTTTACACAAAACCTTTACACAAGAAAAATACACAACGCGGTAAGGGGAGAGAAGGGAAAAGAAACACACCTAATGTAATTAAACGAGATGGTTTCCCCCCAAAATAAACTTTAATTGTTTATTTTTAGATATTCTTTATTGATTATTAATGAAACATGGACATAATTAGACATCTGGCGAGAACTGTGATGAGAACAATCCAATAAAGAAGACAGTCGTTCATTACAAAGTGAGTTAAGAACACGTTAATCACACAAGTACAGCCCCAGCATGTTCGTACGGTTTATGATGACACTGCCCTTGAGAGTTTGGGTTCAGTGAACCTTAATAACAGGGGAAATCACTTCAATGGCAGAATGTTGTTTTTAAGAAGCATGCACTTCTAAATTTTGAGCCAAACACTCGAAACCATCGCCAAGGAAATCGACTTTACATCGATCAGGCACGGGTGAGATTTATTCAAGTGCTGGCTCATACATAGTCTGACAATTGTGCAAGTGTATAAATCATTATTGATCTGAAGGAGAGAAAAGAATTAAAGTGTTCTGTTCCTGGCCCTCAGCACCTCCTCTTCAAGATATCCAACCTTTTGTTTGTATTAAAATCTTCAATAAAAGCAAGAGTGTTGCAGTTGGTGCATGTGAACTCAAGTTTTAGGTAGCAAGTTTTATACATACAAGACAGTCAAGTTAAAAAATCAGTTGCCTACTGGGTCATTCTATAAATTTGGGGTCCAAAGTGTGACATTTTTCCTGTCCCTGTTACCCTGGTACTTTGTAATTTGCCATTCAAGCATCATTAAAAGTGACTTCAAATGATTGTTTTTTTGTTGGGTAGGTAGTATGCTATTCATAATCACTCTTGGAGGATGACTGCATTAAGGAGTGCATCAGAATTATACAATCATAGATGTCAGATGTAACAGGGACGGGAAAAAAAGTGGACCCCAAATTTATAGAATGACCCTACAAGCAACCTTATGTATTCGAACGTTTCTCTGGCTTTATGTGAGAAAAAAATGCTGTTCAGAATGGGCAAGCAATTTCCTCCCACGTTGGGGTGGGGGGGGGGGGGGAGATGGGACATGAAGCAATTTTATTGACAAAATAGAGTCAAGATTTATCCATGAAGCCAATTGCACAAAACAGTTGATGCATACATACGAAACCAATGATGTAAATGTAAATTATGTATGTATTCCATTTGTTTGTTTTGACTAAAACAAAGCTCGTCCTTCATGTATACCTGTGTATGTACGTTGTAAGTCCAACAAAACACGACAGCAAAACATATTACTGATTCCTGAAAAAATGTACTGAAACATTTATTCGTGTTAAACTTTCCGAATCCCCTCTGAGAGATTTAAAAATTAGTATGAATACTTCACTTTCAATTTGTTAACCCCATTTTCCAGTTATGCTCTGCGTCTAAAAGTAGACATTTGCAAGCTGTACCGACCGCAGCACGTCACTTGCTTGAGCTGTAAACCACCAAAAGTGATGAATCATATCTACTCTACCCGAGTACTTCAAATCTGAACATTAAACCCCGGAGAAATCATCAAAAGAAACCGATTAATCTTGACTGATGGGCCATTACTGCTGCGTGAAAAAAAATTTGGTTGAAGACAAAAATCTTTAAATGTAATTTTAATGCCACAACAATATCACGGCCATTAAAATGGGGGGAAATTGGGGGGCACTCAAGCACCCTTGAGTGGGAGTTGTTGTTGAGATTTTTGGTGCCATTAAATATTGTGATTTGAGTGCAATTTTTCATCTTTATCTGTCTGCAAGGGCAATTGGTTGTGAATTAAACTGAGTATATAAAGCTGGGACCCATTTATTACCATGGATATTTTTTTTCCTTTGGAACTTCTAGCGTCATGGATATTATGCCTTTCATATATTGACTCGTTTTTGGAAGTGTTTTGTGGAGGAGAGGTTGTTCTATTTTTGTAAAATTGAAAACCTTTAAAAAAAATGATGAAATAAAAAATCATACATGCTACTATATTCAAATCAATAAACTTAAAAAAACCAACCAAACACCCCATCAAACAAACAAACAAAAAATGGATGTCAGCTTATTTGCCAATATTATGAGTGACAACATTGTAATGAATGAGGCGCTTTTAACATGTAAATTTATTTTCAAGTTGATATACGCACTGTGCCGCGCCATAATTCTCTCACACGGATGGGCGGCTATTTTCAGCCCATGTGAACAACATTACTGCTCTGCCCTGGCTTGCCCTGTTTATGATAATCACTTCACATACATGACTGGAAATGACCTGGCTAGAAGTAATGACATAGCCGCCGGTTATGTTATAACACGATGGTGTTTGATAATGTGTCTAGGAATATCTCGTCCCTCGAAAGGAGAGTTATAAAGAGCAGCTGCTTTGAACAATTAGGGAAGATTCACATGTTGACAATCAAAATACGCTTGGGCGATTCCAGGTGCGAATCGTATGGGATCGAATCCAAAGTTGGTATTGGAATCATGATTCCACTTCGTTGACGAATCGATTCCTAGATTCCAGAGAGTTCTAAACAAATTTTTATGTCGTTCCACATGTATATATTTCTAGCAAATTATCATATTTACTGGATTAAAAAAAACCTTAAAATGACACTGTGCATAGTGATTAAGAACTGTCATTCGTAAGTGAAATTACTTTCTTCCCTGCCTTTTTGATGGATAGAATTGGATTTGAATCCGAATGGAATTGTGCCAACTGCATGGAATCAGAATAAAACAAATTTGGAATCGTCCAAGCCTGAATCAAACGCACTTTGAAAATCCGTACATAGCTGTATGAGGTCCACATGTACATTTGGCTCTGTCCAACCAAATATAAAATTAGTGCATAAAGGGGGCCCGTTTAATTGGAAAGCAGTTCAAGGTCATATGCATTTCCGAAGCACGTACATTGTATACATGAACATATATCAGAGAGAATTTCATATAACGGAGAATTTCCAATGCGGTTTGGGTATGGAGTCTGCACAACTGACCAGCACAGCAAAATTAAAAACTGATTCAATCTTTGGAAAACTGCGTATAAGTATGTACATGTAGTAACATGGCTCCTTAGAAGTATCAAGATGCGAAAAAAATCTGCAACCACCAACTGCTCAAAATATACTTCTTAAAAAAAATGGGAGAAAATTTAACAACTGATAGAATTATTTAAGAAATTAAAATATAAATTTATAAAATAGAAATAGGGATTTAAACAGAGGCTGTGGTATTTCTTCTTATTATTTTCTCAGCTTTTTTTTTATGCCTACGTCGAGGAAGGGGGGGAGGTGTCCCGCGGCACTGTCATCTATATTTAGTACAGATATCACAACTGTACTCTGATAATGGCCCGAAAATGTAGATTATCGTGAAATGCAACACCAATCTCTGTTTGTGGAGTAAGACGATGATGGCACACCGGTATGAAGCCAGATGACACCCACCATGGCAAACAAGTCATTTACCTCCAGAAAAGAAGGGAAAATATGGACAGCGGGGAGGCAGGTGATATGCCTGTGTCCTCACATGAATCGGCCCATTAGACAGATCAAGTTTCCTGGATCCTGCTTTCAGTTGGAGATTTTTTTTCTTCTCATCAATCAAAGAATGAGACAGTTGTCATATGAAAGGCTGTATAAATAAACCTGATTAACGGGAAAAGTTGGACATTAAGGAATGGAACCCGAGATTAATGTGGTAAACGTTGAGCATAACTTTCACGCACCGATTAATCCTAACTTCCTAGCTAGGGTACGTGAAAAATCATATTAAACTTGGAATATTCAGGATTGTCGGGTTAAATATTAAACAGTTGGCAGGCAATTTACAAAAACTGCCGCCTCTCCACTTTATGTGTGCGTTATCATAGCTGGGAGAAAAATCACAGCATTGATCTTGGTCTGACTGCATGTTGAAAACACCAAACATAATAAATTGAACACATTTGATTCTTAAGATTAACAGGTACATGTATACATCCTTTTTTTTTAAACATCCTTTTTTTTTTTAAACAAATCTTGTCCTTTTTTTAAAACAGAAACAGATTTTGATGGCAAAATTTGTGAAAACAAGTGTTAAAATTTATGTTCCATTTAATTATTTTTTTAAATTTGTCGACTGATTGAGATATTTTTGTTATTTTTTTTAAATGAGTAAGTGTCTACATTAGACTTTCAAAGTGGATTTACAATATCTTTGGGATTTTCATCCCTTTATAATTCTTCTCAATTTGAAAAAATTAAGAAAAATGATCAAGTAACACATTTCTGATAAGATTAAAATGTTTGCATGATGAGGTCACAAAAAAAGAGAAAGTTGTTTGCGATGTCACCATGTGACAATCAATCTATTTTTTAAACACGTTTCTAAAACAGATTTGAAAAGAAAGAAAAATTGCTCTTGCAACATATCAAATGTCAAGTACTTAAACATTACTGTTGTCAAGGAATATGTTAACAGTCTTCAAATTGTCATTTTCCACTACACTTGCTTCCATATAATCCAAACATGTCGCGACTGTCTATTAATTTGGCGCGACCAAAAATAGACTTCCATCTTGGTTTGCGACAGAAACACCAATCTTGATAAAAATCCCATTTTCTTTGATAAGATCGCTCCTGTCAGAGAAGTTCATTTAACTAAAAGGCCTCTTCCATCACATGAGCTCTTTACGATGTTTGTGCCCTGCGACAGCCTTGTTTCGTAATAAAAGACCTGGATTTTTCCGGGGGGGGGG